TGTTTTTTCTTTTCCTATTCCATCATTTCGATTCATACACAGTGGTTGTTTCGTCCTCCATAGTTGCAGCAATTTGAAACTTAATAAACATAAACACACTTTCTTTATTAGAAAATTTTACTAAAGGCACTGCGGCATACATCCCAATAACAGTAACGAACGAACTAAAACAATAATTCCCATAACGCATTATTAAGCACATCACTATTTGGTTTGGATATATCGCTTTTGATGTACAAACTTGCCTTTGATATAACCGATTTTGTTCCAAACGTTGAACTTTTACTTAACGATTTGAATGGGATTTAACGATTTTGTTACAAACGAATATATGAGTGTATAAGATAATGACCGATCTAGAATCAGAAACTCAATGAAAAAGTGATTTTCGGTAAAAAAATGCATATATCCGGTTTGCAGGCGCCGAGCTCCTCAATTGGCTTGCGCTAATTCAATTCAATTTTTAATGGAAACGTCAAATATAAGTCAATGTAAAGTTCGGTTGATTTATTAATAGCAACATTAGCATAATAATAAAATTATTATGATTAATTGGAGAAGGGCGTAATGGTCGCATTTTAAGTGTGATATGTGCTTCCGGTTGCTGTTGCAAGCAATTGTTTTGACTAGAAAATTTCCAACCTTGGAAACTGTGCTGAAAAAGTTGGACGACTTGAAGAAAAAGATGGTATTGAAACGTTTGTTTTGGAGGGCGAGGTCTTCACCTTAATCTACTTAACATAGCACATCGGTAACTGGTTCAAGGGTCGCCTGATTTACCTACTTGATTTAAGAGTATTGCATTGTATAGCAAAATTTAGAGTGAGTAATTGTACCACCAATCAAAAACCTCTAGTTCAAGCATACCTTCATAACAAGACTCCACGTACACAAATTTGTAATGGAAATGTGAACTTTTGTATTTATTAGCCGCAAAAATTAATTGCAAGCAGTCGACCTTGCTTCTGGGAGTAGGAGAACTAACCACATGAGTAGTGTTAGGGGCGGAATTGTGGCCGGATGGATGGGGAATATCTACTGCTATGGACAAAATCCATTTAATCATACTTGGCTGGTGAAATAAAAAAAATGGAAACACCAAAATTTACTTTTGGATAACGCAACAAAGCGAAATTCCTAATATCCCTCATTTTCGACAACACAAAGGTTCAATGAATCACAATTTTCATACTGTAGCGAATATTGCCGAAATCCCGATAGAGATCGAGACACCATGAAAGACTGATCATTGGCGATAAAGAACGAAGGCGGATGTGACGCAATTTTTCCGGGAAATATCACGTGTTTTGTTCTAGAATGTTCGACAACATTCGGGAAAACTCGAGTTTGCTATATAAGCAAATCGAAATACGTTTCAGACAGTTCCAAGTACTCTGAAGTAATAAAGAGTTTGCGCTGTTATAAATTGAGTATATGAGTTGGGTGATACATAATATTTTGACTGTTATAAATCAATTCATTTCAACACTTTTAGAAATTTATTGTTAATTAATTATAAATTAAAAATTAATGTAATTAAATTACGTTACAATACTAACACCTGCTAAATTTCGAAATGACACGTTTAAACCCTGACTCGAAGAAAAGAAAAAAAGGATAATGATAGTAATATCAAGTTCAATAATGTTGAAAAGATAATCTCATGAAAATACTGATGAAATGTTGTGAAGTTAAGACAGAAACCGAAGATTTTGATGGTTATAAAATTTGGGTTTGTGTATACAGGGTGTAGCATCTAAGGTAGCACGGATCATATTTCTCTTACCATAAAAGATACAGGAAAAAGTCTTAGAGTAAAATTGAACACAATTACCGTCGCCATATTTCTAAAATATTTTTGATCATCAGGAAGCTATATTCCAGTGGCGTATCAAACTTGTTTTTTTTATGTACCTAACATTTAGGTCGGCAACAGCATTAGTGTTCCTCGGAATACAAATATTGTATTTCCAAGTTATAGCTTTGTATGCTTAGGGCCCGGAGCGCAAGCCAATGATTTAACACTAAGCAACCACTTTAATGGTTGGTGATCAGTGGTGACTATCACAGATGATGTTTCCAAATAATCAAGGAATTTAGACAAACTCCATACAACAACGAGGGGCTCCCTCTCACTAGTTGTGTAGTTTCGTTCGACAGCCGTTAATCGGCTAGCAAACTCAAAGGGGTGTGCGATGGAATCAGTTTCCTGGAGAAGTACGGCACGCAACGTCTGTTTAAGTTTTAGCTGAGAACCGCCATTTTGTTGCAAGATACGAACTGACTTAAGTAGTGCAGTTGTTAAGGTATCGAAGAAAGAAGAAGTCTTTAAAAGAAATCCTATAATCTGATCGAGCCAAATTGTGAATCTAACCACCCTGAGACACACGGAGCTACATAAAACAATGTCATAAAAATCCGTCGAGCGGTTTAGGAGTTCAGTCACAAACACACGTACAAGAATTTTATATATAAAGGCGACTCAGTTAGAAGACTTCCAGTAGTTAAGTTACCATTTTCTAACCGAGTTCATATACGAATATTGGTTACAGTAGAAAATTTGTGTTAAACGTTTCACACAATTATGAAACAATTGAATCGACCCTTTTAAGTAAACTTAAAAATTCCACTCGTCAAATTTCTTGAAAGGACCTTAAACTATCCCGTGAGTCGCCCAACTTTGGAAAACAAGATCACCCAGTATTTTAAATTTGGGAAATGGAACCAAAGTTTGCTGACGTTAACTGCTGGCCCCTTAAGGGGAGGCTGCAAAATCCAAAGGAAAGCTGGATAACGGGGTTTACAGTGGGTGATTAACAATGTCGTAGATTAATTAAAGTCCTTATTTACTCTAGAAAATTGGAGTTGGTTTTTAACTTCGCGATGAATTTTCTGCGACCATTTAGTCACGTAAAGGACATTAAGATTGTGTTACCGTCCGTCAGACTGACGCTGATATTTTTCCCATGCCATGAACCAGTCACGGCGCATCCAGTAGCCTATGACTCCCAAAATATAGATCGCAGAGTTCAATAAAACTTGAAAAATTTGAAAATAATAAAATTTTGAAATACAGTCCTCTAATGCACAACAGAAAATCATTGGCTAACCTAATTCTTCAGAAATGGTTTTGATTTTTGTACTACCGTGGGTACTAATTTCGGCGTAAGAAATTTTGAGATATAACGAAACCGAAAATCATTAAAAAGTGCCATTTTTAGGTAACTGCTCTAATTCAGTTAGAGTTCCATCTATAACAATGTAAAACAAAAAATTCTTCTCAAGAACGATTTTGGGACTCATTCACCACACTATGAGAATGTAAAATAATTTGAAAACGCCTACATTCAAATTACCGAATTACCGGAAAGCATTCATTGTTAACGGTACTTAGTTCATTTACCCCACAAATACCTCAATACAGAAATAGATTAAAGTTTATTGATAAAAGAAACTGCACTCAACGTGACGTCCGAGTGTAAACAATCCGCAGCGTCTTTGATAGACGTACTTATATACATAACGCTAATTTTCAAAACATGTTCCGAGTAGGTACATTAGATCTAATTAGCAAACCCGATCACGATCAAGTGACATAGGTAACTAATGACGTCCGCGTCGCGGAAACGAAATATGATTTTGTAATAATTAGAAGGTGAAGTTGTCACTCACCCGAACGTTGCTCAAAAATTGATCAAAAAAAACCGAGAAATATACGATAAATAAAAAAATCAAAACAAAATGATGTGCACGGACTACAATTGCTGAGATGACTAATTAGAAGCGATTATTTCGGATAAAAATAATAGCGGCCTTGGAGCATAATTTTGACTTACAGCAAGGTTAACAATCGGTACGTAAATGCGTACGTCAGTATCTTTATCTACAATGCCTTGCAAAATATGAAACATGTAGCCCTTACTAGGCATTTAAAGGGTACTGGGCCAATGCTGATTCTTGTCGAATCACCAAGATACCGATGGACAACCCTACGACCCAAAACGTCAAACCTTCCAATTAAATGTAGCCCTAATTGATTATTCCACTCATCGATTAAATGATTATTTGCATTACTCTATCAATTCAGGGTTAGAAATGGCCAATCGATTGTTAAACAATTAGACCATCAACTCTACCATCGACGCAATTATAAATTTGGACAATAAATTATTAAAAATAATGGATCACGATTACTTCAATTAATGAAAAACTAATAGAGTATAAAAAATCAAGAAAAGCAAAAACATATCCTTACGTAGGAGGCAGTTTAATAGAAGGTTTATGGTGGGTAGCATCTACCGCCGCACCTTCAGCTATCCTCACTTAAAATAATAATAATATGCCATGCAATTGATAAAAAAAATAGTTCCCAATCCAGACTGGGTTTTTTATGTAAGTAAAGTAATTGATTTAATTGCTATAGTTGTGTTTGAGCCGCCGTTGCCGTAAATAAAAACTGTAACTAATTCGGCGTTTGCAACCGTTCCCGTCAAGACATTCAATTATTTTTGTTGGGTCCGAAAGCTCAAGAGACAAGTCATTTAGAGAAGACGAAGGCGAATTAATATTTCAGAATTTCAGCTCCGTTTTAGTATCCTATGGTAATTTAAAACGAGCACTAAAACAGCAACGCCATGCAGGTTTACGCCGGTGTCAGTTTGACTTTTTGCCGACCTGAAAAATTCCAAGAGACAATGGGGATTAATTATAAGTATTAATTTAGACATTTCATCTTTCACATTTAAGTGACTATAATTAACAGTAGTTCATTTAATGATCTGCAGTAAACAACATCCGATTAAATCGTGAGTGATCTCAAAACAAGCGCAAACAAGTGGAGACCCAATTGTGATTACCTTATAAAATGTCAGGAGCCATACTTACACCATCTACAGATATAAAATGAAACACAACAATATAGGACTACAAATCGACCCCCCATTTTTATTTATTTTTCTTCTAACGTTTCATTACCTTGGAATTGGAATTATTCTCTCCAATATTGTGAAGTCATAACATAATTTATTGGTAAGAGCTGTTACAATATTAGTAAATCTAATATTCAACTATTATATCCAAAGTGCACGCCAAATACCTGAAATACTCAGATCTGGTATTTGGCGTGCACGAGGGATATACGGGATGACTATTGCCCTGGGAAAATTTGTATATCCATAATCTTAGGTTCAATCGAGTAATTCTGCCATTCCTTTGACTTCCACTAGTAGGTGACGTCTACATACTGCTCACCACTTTAAGAAGGTTTCGAATGGACGATGAGCTAATGTTGAGTTGTACCCCTGGTGCACCAATAGGGCTTCCATATGCTCTTACTAGGAGTGAGAGAGCATTTTGTTGTTGTTGAGGAGTGAGGATGGAAAGTGCGAAGCGAAGATTTGTCTAAAAGTTAAGAAATGTCAAAGGTCGTATTTGAAAGTAACGTTGTAAGTTACCTTGGCAATTGGGGCTAGGCTATCAAGCAGCGTGGTGAATTGTTCCGGAAAGTGTATTTGTGAAGCATTGTTTGGTTACCACTCCAACTTACCCTCATATCACTATCAGCAGATGGGAAAGTGCTCATGTCGAGGTCAGCGGCATGTAAAAATTCTGTTTTGTGAGCGCTATGTGCAATCAAAAATACGCACCGGAACCGAGCTTATGACGGTATTCAACACGAAAAGTACGGATTGCTAAAATTATATTATAATTAATCTCCTACAGATATAGCTTTTAGGTGTCTTACTTTTGCCTCATCACCTAATGTGGCTACGTAAGACAGAATGTCATTCTGAAAATTCGGGATGTAGGTAATTTGTACTCAACTCGAAATCAAAAATACTCACCACAAGGTTAGGGTCACTTTTGATCGAATTGAAGACGTTAGCTTATACCTACAAAAACAATGATTTCCAAAATAGAACTCGTCAAGCACTCATACCTCAGGACTCTCTTCAGCTTCAAGGGCTGTAAATTGTGGGACTTTCGACACGAATCCTTGTACTGCAACAACAAATCCTGGTGCATTGTCATAGCCTTGTCTGGGAAGCCAGCTCCAAATACCCTGTTTTGGATCGTTGACTTTTTCCTCGGCCCCTTTCTCGCCACTACCAAGACCGAAGCCTAATCTAATACTTCCAAAAGGACCCAAGCTCAAAGTTACACCAGCTCCAGCGCCGGTTCCTTTAGAATAATCAGTGCCTTTTTCAGTGTCGGGGCTACCAAGTGACAATCCTGTTCCAACACCGGTTCCACCGACTCCCAATGATCCACCAACATCAATACCCCATCTTTTAAAGAGATTCTAGAAAAAATGCGTTACTACTTTCCCAAACACTACAGGGAGTTCCTTACTCCGAACAAGCCATCTAAAATTGGAAAAATATAATTATGTAATCCAGGCTATATAATATTTTTTGACAAAAAAAATTAGTTACCGGTTCAAACCGGGTTTTTCATGCTGGTGAAATGATTATAGATTGGGGAAAAATAATTAAAACAGCTGAATTTCTCTGGGGGTGAAATCACGGGGGTAGAAAGGGTTGGAAACTGGTATTTTGCAATTTGTAGCAAAACTATTAATTTTAGACGAAAATGTTCAATGTAAAAGTTTTAGAGATTAAAAAAAATGAGCAACTGTAGCTGCACTATTTTCACATAACCTCCAATTTTCCTAGAAAAACATTTTTTTTATTTTTATTCTTATTTTTACGAAAAAAAAGTCATAGGGGTTTGAAATTTAGAGTAAAGATAGTTTGTTTTATGATAAAAAAGGAGACAATTTTTTTGGGCCCGTAAAGTTGAACCGTTTCCGAGATCTCACGATTTCTGAAAAAACCACTTCTTTTTCAAGGGGATGAAAAATCTATTTTTTTTTCATCGTACAAAATTTTCGGGAAGACTTATATTTTAATAAACAAAAATAAAAAAATATTAATCCTATGGCAAAAATTCGAGAAAATAGCGAAAAACTGGAAAAACAGTTTTAAGATTAGACACGGTTTTTGACATGATAAATCAACGTGTTGGATGTTAATAAAGATTTTTTCGAAATCTGTCTTCTTGTTTCTATTTAATGTTTGCTTAAATATTCTCTTTTGTTATCTTATGCTCAACTGTTTTAGTTAAAACATCTTTATTATTTCTTTTTTCTGCATTTTTACCGCAATAAATTCGAAATAAAATCGAATTATCTTGCTTGCCGATTGCTGAACAATTTGTTTTTATTCACTGACTCTTCTTCCTGCCTGTTTTATAGCTGATGCAATTGCGTTGGGCCTGTTGATAAACTGGCAAAATCTGCAATAAGAACGTTAGTTTTACCGGCCAAAACAAATGATTTGAGATGTAAAACCTGGAATAAACTTCATGAGGATTTTATTCATAATTCCTGCAAATTAACGATCAACAGGCCCAGCTTAATCCCATCAGCTGTAAAACAGGCAGGAAGAAGAGTTAGTGAACAAAAACAAATTGTTCAGGAAGCAAAAGATTTGGATTTTACTTCGAATTGCTTTTATTGCGGTAAAAATGCAGAAAAAAGAAATAATAATGATGTTTTAATTAAGGCAGTTGGGCACTAGGAAACAAAAGAAAATATTTTAGCAACATTAAAGAGATGGTTTTTTTCAGAAATCGTGAGATCTTGGAAACGGTCCAATTTTACGGGACCAAAAAATTATCTCCTTTTTTCTAGGAAAATTGGAGGTTAGGTATGTGAAAATAGTGCAGATACAAAAGTTGCTCATTTTTTTAATCTCTATAACTTTTACATTGAACATTTTATTAATAGTACATTACAGTAATAGTTTTGCCACAATTTGCAAAACACCACTTTCCACCCCTTTCAACCCCCGGGATTTCACCCGCGGAAAAATGGTTGTTTCCTAATTTCTAATCATTTCACCTGCCTGATAAACCCGGTTTCGCCCGGTAACTAATTTTTTTAGAAAATACATTATTTGAGAGCTATTTAGCTTGGACTAATAATGATCAAGTTTCTTTCTTTAAACACTTACATGTTCCGGATGCGCATAAAAGCACAGGGAAGGTTACGAAATACTTCAATTCGTAAATACTTCATTTCGTGTTGGGTACCAAACGGATTGATTTACCCCTTCGTCTCGGTACCTTTTACACATGGTGCAACGATATCGGTTTCTTTATTTTCGTTATCCAATCAGAATCTCAATCAATCAAAAATTAATTACTGCTTTGTACCGCACATTTTTAACTTTGCACAATAGAAGTTCAAAGGTGCCCAATTAGTCAAAACCATTTTGATAATAAATTCGCTTCCTTATCGATAGTGTTAACTAATTGGAGTTAAATTCGCTATCTACCTGGCTGTTTGATTAGGGAGCGGTATAGGGAAACCGCAAGGACTCAGGTTTTGCGTTCTTTATTTCGGTTATCACAATTACTTGCGTGATCAGAAATTTTACCTATCAAGCCATTTTTGACCGAAGTGCAAATTTGATGGAAGGAAAGACTCAAGACTGCCATATATTTTAATCAATTGTTATTTGGAAATCAAGGCGATTTCGTTGTTGAAACGGTAAAAATAAAATAAATAAATAAGTACCGTCATTAGTACCTGTATTCAAATTCTCAAAATATTCCGAGGTTTCCTTTTCGAAATATAGATAACCGGCGTTCATCGTGGGACGCTATGTATTTGAAATTAGAGATTCTGCTTAATTTTTTGTAGAATTAGTATAGTGAAGATTTACTTTGGGTTTGACTAAGAAGAGTCAAGCTGACTGAAATGAAAAGCAATTAAATTCGAAGGATTTTTGAGTAACGTGTAGATAATGAACGGTTATTCTGCGCAGAGCTGGGCAGTATTCGATTTTGTAAATACTTTTTAGTATTCAAATCCTTTAAAGTATTCAAATACTTTGTAATTAAATACTTTTATGGAAGTAGTATTTGTATATGTAACTCAAATACTTTCACAAATATTTAGTATTCGAATACTTCGCAAGGTATTTGAATACTTTGAGAAGTATTCGAATACTTCGTATAATTAACCTTCCTTTTTTACCAAAAATCGACTACTCTAAATTTCTCGGGAAAACACTTTTTCTTATTAATTTTGGTGCGTAGAATCCAAAACTATTCGTACTTTTTCGATCAGACTTCTCAACAAAAAGTTATAGACTAGAAACCAATGTCGAAAAAAAATTCAAAGGGCTGTAACTTTTGAACTAGTAGCCCAATCTTAGAACTCTTTGAAATTATGGATTCTACAGGCCACATTCTATAAGAAAATTTTTTTTCCGGGTCGATCTGAGACAATTTTTTTTCGGACCTCAAAAAAGGCAGTGTATAACCTTCCTTTTTTACCAAAAATCGACTACACTAAAATTTCTCGGGAAAACACTTTTTCTTATTAATTTTGGTGCGTAGAATCCAAAACAATTCGTACTTTTTCGATCAGACTTCTCAATCAAAAGTTATGGACTAGAAACCAATGTCGAAAAAAAATTCAAAGGGCTGTAACTTCTAGTAGCCCAATCTTCAAACTGTTTTAAATTATGGATTCTACGGGCCAAATTCTATAAGAAAATGGTTTTTCCCGGTCGATCTCAGACATTTTTTTTCCGGCCTCAAAAAAAGGCAGTACTTTTCAGTTATTCAAATATTTGAGAACAATTTAGAAATGTTTTTGGGAAAGTTTCCATTGTCACAAAATCAAATATAAAAATCTGATACAACTGAATACCGAACGATCCTCGACTGAAACTTTTTGATTCGATAGTCTACGTAACTTAAAAACAATAAGGACCTTTCTTATATTCTTAAGACCATTGTGTACCAATTTTCAAAGCGATCGCACGTTTCTAAACAAACTATCATGCACACGGACAAACGGATGGTAAAAAATGGATCTGTTCCAAAATCGCTAGGATTAATTTCAGAAAGGCGTACGTATCATGTGCACGACGTACGATCGCTTTGAAAACTGGTACACGTATTCTTAAGGATATAACTGGTATAAGAATCCTGGTAGGTACCTCCTATATAATAATATAATAATAATATTACGCTTTTACTCCCCTTAAATTTGTATAAGTATAACAATACAAATATAAAAAAAGCTAACCCCATACAAAGTATAAATTGATTTTTTAAGTAGTATTAAGACTTTTATCTAGTATACTATTTTAAATTTTTAATGTATTTGAGTGACAAGTATTTGAATACTTTTTACTGTATTCGAATACTTTTCAAAGTAAGTTAATGAAATACTTTTCAAAGTATTCGAATACGTTCTAAAGTATTTGAATACTTTTCAATGTATCTGTATCTAGTATTCGCTTGTGCTGGACGTAAAAGTATTTAGTATTCAAATACTTACCTTTGATTTGTGTAAAGTGTTTACTATTAGTATTCAAATACTTTTGAAAGTATTCTGCCCAGCTCTGATTCTGCGTCATTTCAGAAATTCTGCGAAATATTGCACCTAGCTACCTTCCTCCAATGGTCATGAAGAATAAAACCAGTTTTAACTCCTCCCCTCAACCCCCCCCCCTCCCTTTTGATAAGGAGTCAAAAAGGGCGGTAGTTGGTAGAAAACAGTTTCTTTTGTTGAGACCTTTAATTAGAATGCCATGAAAGATAAAATTAATCCCCCCCCCCCCCGTCAGCTACTGATCTGAAAAAAAGTTTATTCACAAAAACTAGCTTGAAATTGTTACTAAATTATTATTCATTTAGGGTTTACAGAAGATATGCGTTTGGCTCTTTCCTTAATAAAACTAACAAAGCCTATAACATAATCGATTTTTTAAATTAATTAAATCAAATTTCTACTTTAACCTTATACAGGGTGTTATTGTTTGAGTTGTGTAAAAAAAAATGGAGTTATCACGATCCACCAGACGCATCAAGAAGTCTTTGGATGGGATACTGGGTATGCGCCTTTACGATTTTGTGCAACTTTTAAAAGTTATCCCATGAAAGGTATGAGAAAAAAGTTCCGATTCGGATGAAAATTGGCAGTTGGTGAAAATGCCGAATCTGCTGTTAGTTTTTAAAAATTCGAAAAAAATTCCGAATAAAATTCTTGACCGATAGGATCACTTCTATAGTGATTAGAATTTCCAAGAATTTCCTATGGGAAATTAGGTACTTAAAAACATAATTGTCAAACAGTTTTTGGTTGTGAAAAAGTCGTTTCTTTTCAAGACCATTAAACGTTTCTTTAAAAAAATATGAGGTTCACTTTTTTAAAAATAGTACTTTCCAGATTAAATTTCTCGCATTTCACGCATTCACGACATTCCTACCTTACTAGAAGCCGCAATGTGTTGATGCGCATACCTTTTGTTACAAAAAGATTGTATTGAAAAACTGTTCGACAATTCTGTTCTTTAATATCTAAAGAACATAATGCAGGAAATTTCTGAATCGCCAAGAATTGCAGTCGAGTTTTTTCGAATTTTCAAAAATAAAACTTATTGCAGATTCAGGATGTTAAAAGCCCACAGAATACCGAATTTCATCGAAATCTAAATTTTTGCGCAATTGTAAAGTAGGAATTTTGAAAAAATGTTTACAAAATCAAAAAGGATATACCCGATATCCTAACAAAAGACGCCATTCATCTTGATGGATCTTATTTTCTTTAGAAAAAAAAATGCAATTTTGGAGAATATTTTTAAGGGTAGCGAAGCATTCACGTCCCACCTGTTTGTTTTGATCCCCTCTATCATCCGATTTTTTTGTCTAGCGCAATGAACTCCAAATTGCAGATAAAAAATCATACTGAAACACCGTACTTATACAGCGTGGCTCAAATTCGATGTCTCGGGCGTATTATGTGAAAAGAAAAAGTTTAAATAAAAATTTAAGGTGTTTTTGAACGTGTCGCTTGTTAACAAAAAAAAATGTAGGGCTCTTTAGCAACAAATAATTTTTTCTATTTCGGTGTCACAATGATGATTTTGTACAACTGTTTTAGGCCGAAAACAGTTGTACAAAGACAGTGATTATAGTCGTTTTTTTTGGTAACTCATTTCTTAAGTTGGCAGTTACTAGTTAGTACAAGTAGGTACTTCGTTGGGTACTTCCATGTTTGAACTTCAAAATGTCAAGTCTTACTACGCTGCCAACCTAAAACTTAACGGCATAAAAAGTGTTCCCAACATAAAACATGTTAGTTCTAATGTTCTCTATAGTTTCTGATAATGATTTTTTTAATTAAATTAAAGCACCGAAATAGAAAAAATAGTATGAAAAACGCGTGTTACAATGCTTTATTGTAATACTCCTATCTTGCGGACACTCGTGGCTACGCTTCGCGTCGCCACTCGTGCCACAAGATAGTCGTATTACAATAGGTCGCATTGTAACACTTGTCTTTCAATATACTATTGATATGTTCCTATATATAGGACAAATATATTCAATGACGTCATAATTCAATTTTCCAACATTCCCAGGAACAATCACTTCGAACCAAAAAAGACCTTTGTCTCATTTAAGATTGTCAGGCTCAATTTCTATTAACACTTTTATTTTCGCATAATACGTCGGTGACATCTAAGTTGAAACACCTTGTACAAAAATACGTTTTTTGGTTAACCTTTTCCGTTACTATAAACGACTTCTAATTGGAAGTCGATCAAAAACAAAGAAGAAAGCATTAAATATGTAATATACCTTTATTTGTCTGAAACCACACGTTCATACTAGCACCCCTTTATACTTATTCTGATTACGCAAAGTAATCGAAATCTGATATTCACCGGTAAAGTTTTCACAGGTGAAATGCGGTTTGGTGATAACGAATCCGATATCGTTTCACCGTGTATAAAAGGGACCGAGGCTAAAAGGCAAATCAGTTCATTTTGACAATCGAACCGAAATGAAGTACTTCGTCGCCCTCACTGTGCTTTTATGCGCATCCGGAGCATGTAAGTGTTTAAAAAAAAATTTGATCATTAAATATTTTTTCCAATTTCAGATGGCTTGTTTGGAGTAAGGAGCTCCCTGTAGTGTTTGGGAAAGTAGTAACGCATTTTTTCTAGAAACTCTTTAAAGGATGGGGTATTGATGTTGGTGGCTCATTGGGAGTCGGTGGAACCGGTGTTGGAACAGGATTGTCACTTGGTAGCCCCGACACATCTGAACAAGGAACTGATTATTCTAAAGGAACCGGCGCTGGAGCTGGTGTAACTTTGAGCTTGGGTCCGTTTGGAAGTATTAGATTAGGCTTCGGTCTTGGTAGTGGCGAGAAAGGGGCCGAGGAAAAAGTCGATGTTCCAAAACAGGGTATTTGGAGCTGGCTTCCCAGACAAGGCTATGACAATGCACCAGGATTTGTTGCTGCAGTACAAGGATTCGTGTCGAAATTCCCACAATTTACAGTCCTTGAAGCTGAAGAGAATCCTGCGGTATGAGTGCTTGACGAGTTTTATTTTGGAAATCAATGTTTTTGTAGGTATACGCTAACGTCTTCAATTCGATCAGAAGTGACCCTAACGTTGTGGTGAGTATTTTTGATTTCGAGTTGAGTGCAAATTACCTACATCGCGAATTTTCAGAATGACATCCTGTCCTACATAGCCACATTAGGTGATGAGGCAAAAGTAAGTCACCTAAAAGCTGTATCTGTAGGACATTCATTATAATATAATTTTAGCAATCCGTACTTTTCGTTTTGAATACCGTCATAAGCTCGGTTCCGGTACGTATTTTTGATTGCACATAGCGCTCACAAAACTGAGAATTTTTACAGGGCGCTGACATCGACATGAGCACTTTCCCAACTGCTGATAGCGAGATGAAGGTAAGTTGGAGTGGTAACCAAACAATGCTTCACAAAAACACTTTCAGGAACAATTCACCACGCTGCTTGATAGCCTAGCCCCAATTGCCAAGGTAACTTACAACGTAACTTCCAAATACGACCTTTGACATTTCTTAACTTTTAGACAAATCTTCGCTTCGCACTTTCCACCCTCACCCCTCAACAACAACAAAATGCTCTCTCACTCCTAGTAAGAGCATATGGAAGCTCTATTGGTGCACCAGGAGTACAACTCAACATTAGCTCATCGTCCATTCAAAACCTTCTTAAAGTCGCGAGCAGTATGTAGGCGTTACATCCCAATGAAATAAAGATGAAATTATATGACAATCGCTGCTTGAGTAAATATTGTAACATCTGTTAACAATAAATAATCTTATGCACCACTATTCGATAGTTCATTCACCTGTGTTTGATTTCTCTCTCTACAAAAGTAAAGAATACAAGGTCTCAGGAATAGCGCCACTGTAATTGTCATTTGCACTTGCTGATGGTACTCAAAAGTATACAACCCAAGTTAAGGATTGTGAAAAAAGGGTTCGAAGGGCCTAAACTACTAACTATACCCCCTCCCCCTGAATTTTATTCTAAACAGGATGCCCATTATTTATCGAATATACGATATATCTCGGTAAAGATCGAATGTATACAAAATTTTTCTATATGAAAGTTGTTTAACATTTTATTTCCCATAATAAGGCACCAATCAGTTGTTTTTATTTTAGTAAAAAAAATGAGTAACGAAAAACAATTGAATTTTAAATGGCAGTGCACCTTTTTATTACTCATTTGATAGAGATTTTTTTCTCTTTTCTATGATTTAACATGTTAGTGCCCTAATACAAGAAAATTCCTCAAAAAACTTATAATCACATCAGTAACATTAATCTAGATATCCTACATCAAAATAAAACAAATGAATGTGTACATACGTTTGTTACAATTTTATTACTAATTTCAGTTTGCCTTCAAGGTACACGTATACGTTCATTTGTTTTATTTTGATGTATAGGATATCTAGATTAATGTTATTGATGTCATTATAATAAGTTTTTTTTTGAAAATTTTTTCTTGTATTAGAGTTAAGGGTGCACTGCCGTTTAAAAAAATTCAATTGTTTTTCGTTACTCATTTGTTTACTGAATGATGCCTTATTATGGGAAATTTTAAGGATGTAAAATTGAAGCTTTTTATGACCACAGGGATACTTCTTGATAATCGCGCGTGTGGTTTAACGGATAATGGACCACTTTCGCGGCGAGATATGCGGAATAGGCAGTGGTTTGATAAGTTTGATAAAATCTACGTCGTGAACATTTCAATTTTAAATTAGAGGAGAATATCTTTTACGATAACACTCAGGCTCTATCCCTTGGTGGTGTGGTGTATTTTGTGAAACGTAACAGCATATTATGATAGTCCTTCTTTATTGCTAAATACTGTGGGTTCCAGTTTAATGTTCCCATAGCAATAAATTCCACACAACAGCAATATGTTAGCAACAAATAAGCACTTCATTATGTACTATTAGATTTAACAAAAAGGGCGCTAAGTTAACCTACATATTGCAAGTAGCATAATAGAATAAGTGACGCATTGTAAAAAAAACATCTCTTTCTGAATCTGGAACAAACATTTTTTTTTTATTTCATCAATTAATTTCTAAAATATTGCACATTTAAGACAGAAATTCGTTCTGGGCTCAGTGTCTTTAGAAGGTTGTTTACATCTTTACCCATCCAAAGCATCTTTTTCGTGACTTTATTTGCTTTAACGTGTTTGAAAAACAGATTTTTAAACTATTAGTTTAATGACCATACATCTTTCCGAAAGCTGTAAAAGTAGTGGAGCTTATTTCAACCATTCAATGTGTGTTTTAACTTGCAGTGCTGCATCATGTCCTAGGAGTTCCTAATCGCTATTCGCTACTTGTGTGAAACCATCAACATTGCTACTTACACTGCCTTGTTTTAAAGGACTTTCTAAAGGTTTGCCCGATTTAGAAATTTGTGAAATAGAAGTCACTGTTCGCAGGCTAATATTTAATGTATTCGAAACTCTATGCAAAATGAAACTTGTTACGTATACGAATTCTTAGATTGCTAAAGTAATCACTCACCTCTCTTACTGCTGCGGCTGGTAAAAGTGGACCACCATTATATCTCTTTCTCGTTCAAAATAACGAGTAAGATTAGAAATAAGTTGCTTACTTTTTCTTGGTAAACCCGATGGCATTTTTGGGTTATACAACTTTTGGCGCAGAATATCGCAGTGAGGCTTACGGAAGTTATGCTTCTATGTATAATTGTTCGTTATGAAACTAACGGATTTTTTATAGGATAATGTAGCAAAACGGGATAAAATAATTAATTTGATTGAGAATGGGGTAAGGATCTTGTATTTTTTCCCGGTCCTAGCATTAATATTATTTAGAGGAAAATACGCTATCGTCATTTATGTCTGCATAACGACTTTGTAACTTGTTATTCCATTCACCTTAGTTCATGGCGAATTAAAACACAAATGAAATAAATGACGATTCGTAGGTATTTGGTCATAAGTTAAACAAAACATCGTAAAAAACGGTGTTGTAACCGTTGCGAAGTAAGTTCACGGACCAACGGAGACGCTCATAACATTGATTTTTGTATAAAATGCATGGGATGAACATAATTTGGGAATTAATTGCAAAAAAACGTGGCTACGTAAGCATATTTTGCTCAAATCCAAACAAATTTTGTTACCACCTTAGCGCTCATCTGTTTGCTTCAAGGTAAACATTTATTTGTTATGACAATTTGCAAATCCGTTGAATAGCGTTTCATACTTATTAATCTCTACAGTGTTTTCTTCGAACGATATTTTTTCACGCTGAAAAATCCAATAATAATGGAATAATAAGCATGAAATCTTCCAAATATGCGTTTATATTCACTTCATTGTTGAATCGCAAGAAAAATATTTCTTGTGTAATTTCTTTACACAACAATTACACTCGTTATAGATAACAAAGTTGCACTCCTCATTAAAACTAACTTTAAACTGGAGAGGAAACCAAACTCCTGCTAGTTCACCGTAATACTTTTTTTTATAAAATACGGTGTGAATTTTATCAGCCAATTGACAAAGATTTTTCCTGATTACTACTTTCAATAAAACATTTTTTACTCATTTTTTAAAGAGAACCGATCGTTATTTTTATACAAACCAAGAAAAAATTACGGTACCTTACATAGCGAGATTAAGAGCGACTTCCGGGATAGGACCGTGGCAATGTTGCGTGTTGCTCCCGTTGGCTCATCGGTAATAGTTTTATATATTTTATTTTTATTGTTATACTTTGTTTCTTTTCTTATCCTGTAAAGCCCCTTACTACAATACTGACACAGTAGGTACAATCCCGTAAGTCGATCGCATCGTATTGACTGTGGCCACGCAAACTTCCGCTCCCTTGACCGCTAATGAATTTTCGTGCACGATTTATGACGGGTCTTAAGGTTTTCACTTATAATCTTCTTGATTAACGAAACGGCGTCTTGACGTAAGGTATGTACTTCACTCATTATCGATCATGAACTTTGCTTACGGATCTAAGTGGTCCGTTCTGGTGGTCCAGAACCGAATGCGTTAATACTATTCCTCCCGGACTAATCCCTACTCATCGTTTTAACCTTTGTGACACGTCCAAAATGGCGGTAATTAGTTAACTTTTTTGTGAAATGTAAGATTTTTTCTCATTTGTATAAAACTTTTTAGGGCACACTGTATACTGCTTGTTACAATTAATACAAGGGATTTTTTATACAACACTATAATTTCCCCCGTGACTATGTTCGCTCATATTGACGGAACCCCAACGAAAACACAACGGCAAAGTACGACGGAAGTGACTTGGCGCATGTATCAATCGGCACGCGAAATTCTGGAAAATGACATCAACGAAAAAAGAAGTTTAAAAAAAATCACATAATCCGATCGGATCCATTTGTGAATCTAAACCATCCAGGGACACGCAGAGACAATTTCGTCAAAATCCGTGCAGCCATTTAGGAGCTCAGTCACAAACACATATACAGAAGCTCTTATATTGTTATTGTGTAAAACTTTAGAGGGGTGTCGATTCTCTAGTCCAAACTCAAGCAGAACTGGTTGATTGACTTGGTTTTGCTCTGAAACTTTCTAATGGAATGAGTGGTTTTCTATGTATCAATGGAAAATTTGTAGTTACCCAGAGATATAATTTGTTTAGGGGGTTCCATTTGAAATTTTAAAAAAATGACATTTGACGAAGGTCATTCAAAAATTTAATTTGTTTGATCAAGTACCTAGATAAATTATGTGACTGTGGAAGAGGTCTTAATCTGTGCCGCAGACCAAAACCCCATGCGCGATTTAGTTTCTCTCAAAAAATTTCGAAAAACTGTCATATTTTGACGAAAAAAGGTTATAATAACGAAATCGTTAAAGTTAGGGGTAGAACATAAAAAATAAGTATGTTTCAACTTCAAGTACTTTCCAAATCAGTACTAAAATATGAGGTGTTCCATTTAAAAAAAAACGGCAATGGAATACAGCACGTCCCTGGTGATCAAAAATATTTTAGAAATATGGCGACGGTAATTGTGTGCAATTTGGCTCTAGGACTTTTTTCGGTATCCTTTCTGGTAAAGGAAATATGATCCGACGGGTCTTAGACGTCGAGTCGCCTTTGGAAGTTCAAGTTAAATATGATTTCCCATGTAAACAAAAATTCCAAAGGTGGCTTGATCGCAATGTACAATAAATACAGGGATGCAACGTCTCATCTGTGTAATTAACCTGAACCATTGATAGTTGACATTTTCACATTATCAATTATCATTTTAAAATCAAAATCGAAAATTTCCAAATTTTTAAATAATTGTGCTTGGTATCCCACACCGAGTGCAAGAGTTTTGTTATTATTACTAGTACACGTGGGATAAGATAATTCGGAGGCGAGGCCGACAATTACACGCAATTAATACAGTTCACTGCACAGTTTGCTTTGATTACTGTACAATTTAATTCGATTACATTTTATGCGATGCGCGAGAATCATATCCCTCCATTATTCATTTCGCCGCTTTTCTCAAAGAAGAAAATTGCGCAATGACGTCGGGGATCACAAGTGTCAACTAATCAAACTATATTGAATATAATACTCGCAATTGATTTAGCCAACGTTTGACCAATCCGTTCATTTATTTGTTTGAAATCAGGGTCAATGGCGTATTTTAAATATTACTTTCTCTCCCACTGTATTTACTGAATCTGCGAGATTGACATTTGTAATTTTATTACATTGCTATTCAAAAATAACCTCACAATTTGAGTAGCACTGACGCAAATTCTTTGTTCGCCACAAGAGCGATGCATCCAT